GTCTCATGCTGACAGAGCAACAGATTATAATGTGCTTTACAATGAGTATATTTAGAAATTTCATTAATAATTATGAAATAAAAGCACTTCTGAAGTATAAGTACTTAAAATTTCTTAGGCAGACCATCTAAACCATACAACTTATAAATATAGAAAATAAAAGAAAATTCATCTGATTTTGCCTAGAAGTTATATTCTGTTTTGCCTATCATTATCAACCATAATAATAATAACATGGAACTTGTTCTTGAGACACCACAGAGTGGGTGGTGTATACTACAGCCATTATCCCATTCACAAGACAAAATATCTGCATACCGTAGTGCCAATCCACATCATCATCCTTTTCTGAACTGCATACACTGAAACGTAGCTAGTTATTTTGTTGTGTTAGGGTTTTTTTTTTCAATGTTTATAACATTTTATAACATTTGGCAAGAGCGGTACATTCAACAATGCCAAATGTACAATGCTAGGGAGCACCTCTGAACTTGGGTATTCTTTGTGCCGAAACTGTCTCTGACACTGTAGAGTTACTTCCTGACAGGAATTAAAAGCCAACTATCCCCATGACATACATAAATAAATCCCTACTAACTGCCTATTTAAACAAATTTTTTTTTTTTTTTTTTTTTTTTTTTTTTTAAGAACATAAGGGTCTGGATTACAGTTTTAAATTGTAAGCTTTATGCTGTTGTGCATTCTGGAAGATACACAGTTTCTCAAAACTGTGAATTACCACACATGCTTAGAATTACTTTTTAAAAGGGAAAATGACTGTTGGGGTTAAGCTTCCACAGAAAAGCACAAGAAAGGCATACCCACAAAATGCATGCATATACATGCAGCATATGTAAGAGACCCCTGTGTAACTGAATCAGAATGGCAATGCAAGTAGCAGGTCAATGTACAACACCAAAGCAACAGATAATTCATCTTTCTGTAGACTGCATCTGAAGAGAGTAAGATCAACCACCAGGAAGCCAAAATTATCAACCAGCAGTAAGACTTTTGAATTTCAAAAGACCACACTGTTAAACTTAAAGATTTTAAGTAAAAGAAGCAAAAAGCCACACAAATAAAATCATAATTGCCCACAAATACAACAGTTAACATAATCAATGAGGTACATTAAATGTTAAGGGCTTTTTTACTATTAAACTTACCTATAGGATTTCTGTCAAAAAACAAGACAGGAGCTTTCAAAATGGATTGAAACATTTTGTTGTGCAAAGTCTGACCAGAATTAACAAGAACTTGAAACACCAGAAGACTTCTTATTATGCCAAACAGTATTGTAGCCACTGTTAAACCTGAAATTAAAAAAAAAAAAACAACACAAACATGGACGGAGCATGCATACACATATGGATCTTTCAAAAGGAAAAGAACTTAAAAATAAAACAACTAAAACCAAATTTTGTTGACTTCTGTATATAGCAGGGATCCAAACATAAGCCTAGGGTCTCAGACTGAGTATAGAACAGGTTATCTTCTATTTGTCACTAGCTTCAGCTACTATCGTATCATCACTTTAAGCAATTTCTCTTTTTTGGTTTTAAAGAATTGGTACTTTATAGAAATGTAGGAAATGTCTGTTAACCCATGAAATAAATCTGTATTAAAACCTCCTGCATAACAGCTTTGCAAAGAAATTCATTTCACAGTGCCGTGTATAATTGTGGCTTGCAGAGGTCACTGTGAAGATTCAACATTTGCCAGCAGGTATTAACCAAGTAATATATACACGGCTATTTAGAGACAACCTCGTGTTATTCTCAGTCAGCCCAAACCACTCATGCCATTCTTCCCCCTGTAAACCACATCAAATCATTTAAATTATGTGTATTTCTTTAACACAGTATAAGATGCATTCCTTATGCCATGTGAAATAGAACCCTTCTAGGGAGTTGGTCTGCAGACTGTTTGTCTTTCTTCTGGGCACATCTCCAGTTACAAGACAGGGGTGCTACAGGGCAAAAGGTGGAAACAAAGAATGAGATTGGTGCTTCTCTGTTTGCTGTGTGTAATCTTCAATGTGGCTGCCCAAATTCCTAGTCAATGAAGGTGAACAGTGAAGGTGCTTCCAGGCTCCAGGTAATCTGCTGTGGAAACTAAGCATAGCCACCACAAGCCCAGATGCTCAGGCTTTGAGGACACCCTTAAGTTAGACCCTATCAACATAAAACAGTGAGGTTTTAAGTTAATACGACGTGGTTAAGTCAATCAGTTATTCCATCCTGCTTAGTGCTGTACCCTCCCAGGATGCAAGAAAAGGTACCGCTACTTCATTTGTCTGCTCGCAATTTATTACCCATGTTCCATGTGGTGCTGTTTTTAAGAAAAAAGCGTGTGGCTGAGATGAGAGCTTGTTTGACTTAACCCTGACTGCTGTATTCCAGGCCAGGTAAAAGAAAACAACTTTTCCAAGAGTAACTGCACATACCTAGACAGAAAAGTGGGTCATGCAAAAAGGGAACAGAAGAGGTACTACGCAGAAGGCTGTGGCAGAGCCCATGCCTAACAGCAGTCTGCAGGAGTGGTGGAAAGAGAGTGAGCACACCCAGGGGTCCCCACATTTCTGTACAACTTCACTCAGGCTTGGAAGCTACTGGAAGCTGCTGGTATGACCCTCACCAAACAAATCACCTGAAAAGACCCTAATGGCCAGGGAGAAGTAGGAGGAATGAGACTTTCCAGTCCTTCATCTGGAGTCTCTCACACTGAAGGTTTTAGCTTTCCCCATTTACAAGCTTACCACCTCAGTATGAGAGGCAAGGACTCTTTGCACACTCACTTTACAGAAAAGGTGTGGAATTGGTGCCTCAGTTCTAGCCAGTGGGGTTTCCCATTAACAGAAATTTTACTCTTCTAAATCTGTCATGTCTCAAACAATAAGCACTAGGAAGGAGCTACCATGGCAATTTTTTTTTCTTTTTCCATTGAGAATCAAAATTAAAATGTTAAATTATTTTATACAGCTTCAGAGGTTGTAGAAAAAGTTGTTAGATTATCATGCACTTCATATGAAATGTGCCATCTTTTTATAACTTTTCCAACTGCACTTACAATTTTGTAAGTCAGTGCTGTCTGTTCAACTATTGCAAATATCTCACTAAGCTATCTGAACATTTCAATATAAAGGTAACTTTTGCTGTTCTGCTATCTAGAAAAAGAAATTTCCTTAAAGGATAAAATTTTCTGTAACATGATTTAGGTTATATGGTCAGAGAAAACCAAGTTTGCCACATTTAATCATACTGTGCAATCCACTGGAACGGTTCATGAAATAAGACATTACACAGAGAAAATAAGAGCCAAGTATATCTGGCTCCTAAATTGTTGCTTCCCAGGATAAGCACAATGTTTTCGGTCAAGCACTAAGATCACGTGGATTCCCCCCAAAAATCCAAAACAAAAAAATCTTCCACCTATCCTCACTCATGAGAGATGTTTCTGAATACATTCAAAGCATATTCTTCTGGTATTCCACCTGTTCTCAGACCTATCGTTTACATCTCTGTCAAGACATTACCATGTCACACAAAACCGTACACTACAAGAACTGCTAATAGCACGAGTCTGAGAGCGTATTTCCACACACGATTTTTCCATGCCAATTTTTACTACCTTTCAGAGCAATATTTTAAGATGTTTGGATGCCTGAATACAAGGATAAATGCACCTTTCTGGATAGAACCATATGGTTGAATAGAAGCATATGGCTACCTACTGAAATATATTGAAATGTTTTTAACATCCTGCTTTGCATACCCATCTAGGATGCTTTATAAAAGCTGGTTCTTTTGCTATGGAACTTCAGAAGGAATGTAGCCATGCCAAGTTTTAGAACAGCACAGAATGAAGATCCATTTCTAATCCCTCTTGCCCATCCATATAATGACTGAAGGATTTAGCTCAATGACCTATTAGTATAGACAATAACCACAACCTTACAGTGACTGGCTTTTTGAATACTTAATTCCTAGTTTACTTTACAAAATCCAGTCAAAGCAAATTAAGAGTCTGCATTCAACCTGTTTCTTCTGTTAGATTTTTAGATGTTATTTATTCCAATTAATTTAGTCAGGAAGCAAGACTCGGGCTCCTAATCTGTTAAAACATTATTCAGTTACTGCTGGAAATCACATTTCCCCACATTGCCATTGCTTTGCACCTTTCAAAACTGTTTATTATGATAGGTCAGATAATGAACAGTTCTTCAGACATATACACATGCATGTGTAATTACCTGCGTAAATTCCCAAATAAAAATTAAGGTCTAGGTGTTCAGTCTCATTTGCTCCATTATTTCCATTTGTTGTGACATTCAACTTTTCTTGATGATTTGCCCTGTGGAAATGCATACAGAAGATAACTATCATCAAATCACATTCAGCAAATATTCATTTGCACTATGTTCAATCGTTTCTGGACTCAACTCTGTTGAAATCTTTAGTTCAAAAGATCACGTGCACTGATGTTATCACAAATCACACCATGAGTAGAAGCAATCACAGGCTACACTTCAGCATAAAGTTAATTTTTTTTCCCCCACACAAAATGAGCAGAGATCAGAAAAAGATCAAGCATATTCTCCTCCTCTATTCCTCTCCTATGAGACCCCACCTTGAGTACTATGCTCAATTCTGGAGCCCCCAACATAAGAAGGGCATAAACCTGCTTGAGTGGGTCCAGAGGAGGCCACAAAGATGATAAGGGGGCTGGAGCACCTTCCTCATGAGGACAGGCCAAGAGTTGGGGTTGTCCAGCCTGGAGAAGAGAAGGCTCCAGGGAGACCTTATAGCAGCCTTCCAGTACTTAAAGGGGGCTACAGGAAAGATGGGGAGGGATTCTTTATCAGGGAGTGTAGTGGATAGGACAAGGGATAACAATTTTAAACTGAAAGAGGGTAGATTAGATATAAGGAAGAAATTCTTTAATGTGAAGGTGGTGAGACACAGGAACAGGTTGCCCATAGAAGCTGTGGCTGCCCCCTCCCTGGCAGTGTTCACGGCCAGGTTGGACGGGGCTTGGAGCAACCTGGGCTAGTGGATGGTGTCCTGCCCATGGCAGGGGGGTTGGAACTAAATGATCTTCAGGGTCACTTTCAACCCAAACCATTCTATGATATGATTCTATGATATTCTGAAGTTTTCTAGAACAGGTTTACCACCACCACCACCACCACCTATACAATACTGACTTCTATTAGGCAAACAACACTTGACTGAAAAGGCAGAAATGACTGACCAGTTATCTTCAACTTACCAGTAAGAAAGCCACCAGTCCTGGAGCACATACGCCACCTTAAGCAAAAGAGGCAAATATAAGAATCATCTTACAAAATGAAAAAAAACATTGTAAAGTTAAATTTCCTTGCTATTCTTTCATGTTCTCTGGGAAAACATCACATATTCAGGAAAGTATGCCATCCAGTCTTTCAAGACCAGCAGCAATTTGCAAAGCACATTAGAAGATGCATAAGAACCATCTACAAAGAAAGAAGTTACCTTAAATTACCTTACATGATAGTAAACTAAAGGAAAGCAATACACTCAAGCAAACAAAATATAGTAGCTCTTCCTAATGTATGTTAATTGCACATTAAAGAATTCATTTTTTCAGTTCCTAAATTTGCTACTAGAGATATTCCAAAATGCTTTTTGATTAACAAACTTTCTGATGTTACCAGTCCAGAAATTTGTGTTTACAGGAGATAATTACCAGAAACAGGGTTGAAGGAGGATGAGAGAAGATAGGAAGAGAAAAACTCCTACTGCCACCTTCCTTCTGTGACTACAAACTTGTAACAGGGTTATTTATCTCAAAATACACCTCTGTTCACGTGAATTTGAAGTTCTGGGCGGTCTACTGCAGAGATTTGATCTTGCTCAGCTATCTTCCCAATAGACTCAATTCAAGGACAAAGAAAAAGGAAGTAACATGTCTAAATATATAGACTATTTTTTACAGCCAAGACCAATCATTTCCATGAAATGAATTTAAGCTTTCTCTGCAGGAAACACAGAAAAAGGCAATAAGCTATCTTCATGCAGCTTCCTCAGCCTACCATTTCTTTCAGTAAGTTTCAAAATAATTTTCCATGTTTAAAAATTCTTTTACATACCTGCTACAATCTGCATTACACACAATATTTGCCTATCCTCTTCCTCACTTTCTTATTCTACTAAACAGTGAGCCTCCCTTCTAGCCCTTCATATTACCTGCGCTTATCAGCAGATGAGCTTTTCTTTTAACACTTCCGTCAGACTCTGTCTTCCCATAACCAGTAAATCTCTTTACCCTCCCCTCAACTGAAGACATATTGACTGTTCAGGTTTGTTAAACACTACTTTATACATTTTATGATTTTGTTCTCTGTCTCCAAAAATTAGACTGGCTTATAACTTCTGTGGCATGCTGCCAGAAAAATAATTACAATAAAGTATTAAAACTGTTGAAATAAGTATCAGTGCAAGACCTCTCAATGCTGTACCAAAATTCCATGCTGATAGAAAAACTCTGATTGCAAATATGACAATTATTAAGAAACACCATGCTCCCAAACATTTCAGATGAAACATCACAGTAACAAGTATACACTATGTTAACAAGAAAAAGAAAGAAAAAAGGCAAACCCAAAATACATTCAGTATTATTTGTGGCTCCGAACAACTTACCTGTGCCAAAATATTGAATACTAAAAGTATAAAAATCACAAAGTAGTTTGCTCCTGCAGTGAAGTATTTTCTGTAAACCTTAAAGTTTATTTTTCCCTCAGAGCGACTCTCCTCTGGCATTGCAGCCAGTGCATTTTCAGCCTGAAAAAAAAAAGAACACAGAATAAAGAACATCAACCTTGCAGTTACAGATTGAGACTAAGCCACTTGAAAGTCAAGGTTCAGAATTGGCAAACAATTAAATAAGGAGATAAAGTGATTACACATATAAAAACTTTAATTATTGAAACTATAGCTTTGACAAAAAAAAAAATTAGTCTCACTGCAGTAATACTGAAAAACCTATTCTGCAAAATGACACCGTGGGGATTTTATTTTGCACTGCATCACAGAATGTAACATGACTTCATTTACAGCCAGAAATGTTTACTCTGACTGATAAACCAGGTTTTTTTCTTATATACTACCTTCAGTCATAACAGCTCTGGAAACTAAGGCCTTGACTTGGAAAAGATTCTTTTTTCAGAATGCAAGCGTGTGTAACCTTTCCTTTCAGAAAAGCGTTTAAAGCAAATACTATTCTGCAAGTATGAACCAAAACCAATCAACATATGCCCAGAGTAACAAATTCCCCATAAAGTTCTAATCGTCCCCTTCTAAGTACCAACAAAGCATCTGTTAGTAGGAAAAACAAGTAAAATGACAAATGAGAAGTCAAGTTAAGCAAACAATGGATGGGGGAAACTGAAAGACAGAAAAGGAAAGAAATGAGACAGATATAAAGAAGGTAAAAGAACTATTCAAATAAACAAACTGCCATAATTTATTTTTTTTTTAGCAGTATATGTGATAGGAAAACTAGTGCCAGGTCAGTGGGCACATAACAGTTGATTCTGTTGTCAGCAGACATGGCTGTACAAGAGGAGGGGAATCAACAGACATGACTCAGATGTGAAAGGAGAAATTCCACTTACCCATAAAAGAAGAGAAGCCTATCTTGGTTTTTTGTTTCTTCAGTCCCATCCCCCATCCCTCCACCCCTGTCCCCATCAAACAGCTTTAATGCTGCCAAAACGTTTGGCACACTTTTGTGGATTTAATAGTGCAGTTGCCGCTGGGACATTAATAGTATCAGATAAGTTTACTGCTTTGGGGCATAAAACCATTCCTCTAAAAAGGTATGAAAAAGTCTGTAGTATTCTTTTTTATTTTTTTAATCTCACTGCTTTTCATTATAGAAAAGAAAAAGAAATAATATATACCCATATCATAACAGTGACAATCATCAGGGACTCGCAGGGATTACTTGTTCCATTTGTTCCATGTGTTCCATGGATGCAGTGCTAGCACAAGCCTAGCAGTGCCACAGGGCTCCTGTGTTGTTCTGTGTGAATGCAAGGACACCAGCAGAAGGCCACCTCTGGTAGAGAAACCTTACGGCTACTTTTGCACTGTACAGATCAAGAGATAACAAGGCACCTGGAAGTCAAGCTGGCACCATACCATGTGTTCCGTTTTCACCAATAGAAGGGTTGGGGAGAGCAACACAGTGGTGTCCTAAGGTTATGCCCTCAGGGCCAGGTCAAGTGGGTATGTTAACACCAGTCATGCAAATGTAGACCTTGTCTAAAGCCACTACTTCTGCATGCATTTTCCAGAGCTCAGGATTCAGGGAAAGTATTCATCTGAGCTCAGCACTACACAAACAGACAGAACCCACCCAATACAGTGGTGCTGGCCCTTTAAAGCACCACTATCAGAGGACGAGATGAAGGAAGCACAGTGCGATATCTCTGGACAGCTACAGCGATCCTTTCTGCATCCAGCAGAGCTGATGCTGAACCTGAACAAACTCACTCTGCTGGGTTTGAACAGAACAGCACAGAGCTGTGGGATGCCTGCCCTCTGCAGCACAGGTTGCAGGACTGCCAGCCAAGCACAGCGCTGGGCAGATCCACTGTATGCGAGCTCTCACCTGCTAAGGCAACCCATCCAACACTGAAATTCAATGCAGCAGTGAAAGCTCTTGTTGAAGATTAAGTTAAAAACCAGCCAGACAAGAATCGAGACACATGTATCCTTTGAGCACTCACAGGTGGTTGTTCCACTGCTCCATCTTTCTGTGAGTGGACAGAAGAATCCTGGGACCAGACTGAGGACTCGGAGAAGGTTCGGCTGCGGGCAGACTTCAGGTTGGGGGTTCCTGGAACCGACAGCTGCTCTACCTCCTCATCTTTTTTCAAAAGGGAAGCAAAGTCGATGCCAGATCTCAGGAACTCTGCATAGGTAGCTTTCCCCACCATTTTACCCTACAATTAATATAAGCTTTGATTATCTTCATTATACACTTTTTGTAAAGGACAATTTTTCCTATCTACCCTTGCTGCCTCTGAGGTTCTGCAGTTGCTGAGCGCTCATCTCACTGCAGTAACTGAGCTGAAGGCTCTAACTATCAGCTCCTCGTTTAGAAGAGCAGAAACAGGCTCTTCACCCTCTAACCAGTCTCTTCCCGGCAGCTAACAAGGCCAAGGAGCATACAAATGGGATGATAAAAGTCCTAGTTACAAAGATTTACCTCCTTGAAGAAGCTGTGGGAGACTGCCATGCAGCTTTAGGACAAGCTATTGAACTACATGCATAAACATCAGTCTTTTTACACCATGCTAGGGGTAAATACTAGCTTAATTTTCTGGTCCTCACAGATCTGCAAGGAGCAAGCTAAACCATTTCTCCACTTCTTACAGCTCTATCACAAACTAATTTCTAGAAAGCTACTGTAACTTTTAAAGAGATCTGAATGGAAGGAAAAAGACAGCTAATGTCCTTTTTGCAACTTTGTGATGCATGAAAAGTAATTTGAAGTACTTCACTAGCCAACCTTTAAAAAAATCCCCCAAACCAGCTGAAGATCTTGCATCTCCCCTCTACCCATGAATATCTGGTACAATACAGTTTGGAAGGAATCAGTTTTGCTGAAGGCCTGCTCATTCTCAAAGCTATCTGTGACCATTTCTCAGCCTTAATTTAAAAAATGGACTGGTTGCAAAATCAATGAAGTTCTTAATTCACACAAAAGTGTAAGAAACAAGAATAAAAGCCAAGCATTAACATAGTATCAAACTAAGTAATTCTCTCACAATATATTTTATATATATGTAAGAAAAACACAGTATGTAATATTACATATATGCATAACAAAATTCAGAAACAGATTTTTCAGGTAAGGTATTCTAAGAAAAATCAACTTAATTAATAATTATTAATCTTTTAAAAAACCATACATGGTCATTAGTAGACAAAAAAATATATTTACAAACTAAAAATAAGAGTATTTAACTGTTTGTTTTCCATTCCTAGATCAAAAAGGATAATTAGAAATACGTGAGATATAAACACTAAAATCACTTACATCTTTCAAAATTAAAATCTGATTTGCAGCACGGAGATATTGCAATTGGTGAGTGACCAAAACAGAGATCTTCTGATGTAAGGCCTGACAAATACATCTGCAAAGAGATGGAAAAATTAATTAAAAAATAAAGGATCCTAAAGCATTTTGACTATTTCTGAAAAACATCTTCTATTCAACTATACAATGTTTAAAATAAAAAAATATGTTCATGCTTATTACATTTATAAAAATTACACTTAAACATTTTCCTTATTTAACTTTTTAAGTTTTCAAGGTACGGAAGAGAAATTTCATATTTCTGGTCTGGGGTGAAAGAGACGGAAATATCATAAGGACACTTCATCAAAATTGCCTTAAGCATCCTCCTAACAAATGTACATGTCATAAGCTGAATTGCAAAGAAGGTATTTAACAAAAATTAAACTAACAGAAAGAGAAAGCAGAGCAACATACTGTGGACAATTATGGAAAAATACAGTAAATAAAAGTAATTTCTCTGAGATGAGCTTTCACAGCAGCTATAACAGTGAGCCAGTGAGAGTTCTGGAGAAGTAAACAGTACTACTGATTTGACCTACATCCAGGTATGCACTGAGGTAGAGGAGCAAGATCCTTCAACCACCTCTCCCATGGAAGCAGGGTTTACCTTCCTCTCCAAGTACCTTGCCTGCTTACCCTAGAGGCTTCCCCAGAAGTTTGTGATTTGAAGAGAGAAATGAAGGAGGAACTGGGCACACCAGAACCAGTTGGCAAGTGCAGTTCAATCCCATACAATTTTAGCAGAAAAAGTATCTGGTATCTTTTTAGTAGAGCCTTGAAAGGTTGCCAGAGCCAAAAAAAACCAAACCAAAAAAACAAAAAACCCCAACCAAAAATATAGCAGTGGAGCAATGGTTTACAAGCAAAGAGGCCTGCAAACATGCTCTTCATGTACAACAGGGACAGCTGAGACACAATTGTAATCCAACACCCAACACTACTAACACTCTTAATTGCCTTCATCCCCACAGTACAACAGCAAGGAGACAAACCCTTCGAGAGGAGGTCCCTTTCTCAAGTATTCATTATCTTAAGAAAACAAGGAAAACTGATACTGTCTAGAACTGAAGTGTTCAGTGAAGGTGTATACATTTGCATTTTCCATTTGTATCAGGAGTGCCTTTTTTAAGATCTCCTAGTTGTCTCAACTCAATCTGCTGTTGCTTGTACTGTTGAGTAGTACTGGGGCCCATGAAGTGGACTTCTAGACAAAACAAAGTGGGAACACACATTTCAGTAGCACCCCTCATCTGTATTCAGCTGATGAGGAATGAAGCCTGAAGGGCCAGGCTGCAGACAGCTCAAAGCATAACCTTCTGAACTGCACTGGGACCTTGGCATCGCACGTTTTTCTTCACAGATCTGCCCCTGTTGGCTGATTTTCACTAACATGCTAATTCCCATTTGCTAACATGACAAAGAAGGGTAGCACTCACCACAAAACAAACACCACCCCACGCCCCCTCCCAAATTCTCTCTCTCCAGTCTCCAAAAGACACAAGCAAAACCACAGCAATCCAGTAGTACAAATTCAAAGCAGAAATGCAAATAAGCAGTAAGAGGAGTAAGGCAGAAAAAAAACCATTATCTTAATAGCAATATCATCATAATGCTTACTGTGTTTCATGCATTCATGTTGTATATTCAATTATCTCCCTACACAGCTTTTAACATCTATTTTACCACTCCTACAAAGACTGTAGAAAGTAGAGTACTATAAAATGGTTAATAGCAGTACTAGTCAGCATAATTACATGCAGAAAGTATATTATAGTGTTCCAAATAAACTGTGCAGAAAGTTAAAAGCAACATTCTGCCTGACAAGTTACATGCTTGCTATGCAGCATTCAAAAAGTACCTATAAACCCATGATGTCATTCTTAGGTAGCCAAGGTAACAATTAATCAAGGTATTTGCAGCTGCATAACTATTTGAGCAGCTGCAACTATCTATACACCAAGCTCTTCGTGGGAGTATTATTCTGGTGTGGTTACCATCCACCCTCTGAGCAGTCACTGAAACAAGCCACATGACAACTAAAGCACCAGCTGAAGACATGCAACAAAACATAATCTTCAACAAAACCTGTGCAGAGAACTAGACAAAGATCAGAGAGGCTACAGGTTATTTACTTGCCTAGCAGGACAAATTATTATGGCCAAAACATAATATATCAAGTATTCACCATGGAATTCCCTTACATAGTCCCACATCCTATATACCACTTTGATCACTAGATTTTCTGTGTGCCAGATGTATGTCTAATAGCTTACTGGGACAAACTAGCCACTAAAAAATCCAATGGCTAAAAACCTTTAAATTTTGATCCTGAGTCATGGTGAGACCACTGCACTTCAAGTTTGCATTTGGAGGCAAAAAAAAAAAAAAAGAGGGGGGAAAAAAAAAAAAAGTGGGTTATCACAGCATCAGACCAAGCCAATTAGAACCAGAGCTGTCAGCACAGCATCCTGCGTGATCTTGATCTTGGGACAGAATGACCTCTGTGGAAATATATATTTCCACTGATGTATCAGGTCATTCAATTGAGAATTTTTAAAAAAAACAACAATTCTCGATTTCATGTCTATCTGGGTAGAAAGAAGCTAGCTGAATAGTTTGTTGATAACAGGTGAGTAGAAAAATTGTTGTCACAATTCACTGGCACAAGCACACGGAGGAAAAAATCTCAACAAAGAGCATATACTTAGATCTATTACTGAGTTAAACAACTCACTGCTCAGACAGCTCACTAGAAAATTTTGCCATTTAAAATACTGTATCATCATCAAGCACAGAAGTTACAAAACTAGTCAAATACTAAGTATATACCTAATGTCTGTTTCAAAATACCAAACTACTTGAGGTTTAGGTTCAAAACCTTTTTTTTTTTTTTTTTTTTTTTTTTTAAATATTCTCTCTCCCATTTGACAACATCCATTCTGCAGTTTACAGTAAGCGTTATGTTTGTATGGTGCCTTGGCTGCCACAGAAGACTGAAGCCAGAGTTCAAAGAGAGGCTCAGCAAAACTGAATATGATAAAAGGGCTGGCACAAAACTCAGAGAGCTCACTGAATTTAGTGAAAACTTGGTATTGACTTAGAACTGAAAAAGAAAAAAACAAACCCCCCCAAAATAGTCTGTGTTTATGTTTTTAACTGGTTCACTAAGGCTTAGTTGCATCATGCATCTATTTTTAGAACTACTGCTCTGTGGAGCTGAAGAAAAGCAACCATCAGTTCTAGTGAAACACCCAATTATAGGTGAACCACCACATGCAAGTGTCTCCCTTTCTCACTGACGATACAGAGATTTCAGAGAAAGCCTGCCTCAACAGTGGCCATACCCGGTCCAAGGGCTGAGATGTCTGCAGGAGTACGCCTCGAACTACCACCACCTTTTTATACATTGTTAAAAACCACAAGAAATTCACCTTTCTTGTACTTCTCTTGGTCTTGAGAGGCCTACTGTTAGTTAGACTGTGAGCACATGTAATGCATGACAACAGGACAAATTACTGCACAAATTGCAGTTGCCAGTGCACATTCATTAAATACACAAGCGTGCACACACACAAACACGTGTGCACTCAGACAGATGAGATTCAAACAGAGAAGACCCAAAGGTTCTTCAGCTTCTTCAGTACAAGGAAGAGGGGGATGAAGGACTATGAAAGTTGCATCCTCTTCCCCAAGTATCTAAACTTAAAAGCATTCCTGACAGATGTTGAATGGGTTGTTTAAACTTGGCAACAGAAACTTCAGCACCCTTGAAAACGTATTCCAGGGCAAGCTACTTTCACCATTACAAAATTTTTCTCTGAAGTCCAAGCTTACATCTTTTGGTGGAATTTCAATCCACTAATTTCCAAAGGTCAATAGACCAGATTATTTCTGTGTACACAGTCCCTTCACACATTAAGTCCTTCTTCTCCAGACAAGGAAAAAAACCCCAAAACTCCCCCAAACAGACTACTTTTTTCTTCTAAGTGACAACAGTTTTGTCTTTTTTTTTTTTCTTTTTTTTTTCTTCCCCACCCTTGACACCTGAATGTTCTTGATGACTACACTGGAGTCTGAAGCTGGTCTACATTTTTTGGAAATGCACAAAATTGAAACATTTTTCCAGTTGAAACCTTACAGGTACAAAACATAGTAGGAGGGTTACTTTACCTGTACTGCCAGATGCAGTACTGGTCATAAATCCCAGGGCACTCTTTGCTTAACAAGAGCATGGCGTTGCTGACATACTGGATTTGTGATCTAACTCAATCTGTACCTCCTTTTCCATAAAACTGCCAAACTACTGATCCCTGCTCATTGTGTGTTCATGAAGTCAAAACTTTGCACTTATCCCTGATGCACACATCTATTAATTCACATCCTTAAGCAAGACTTTCCAAATCCCTGTCTGTCTCCAAACTGCCTTAAGTATTGCCTGTTTTCTATCACCTGAAAATGTAGCATCAATGACCTTCATTCATCATCAGGAATATACCAGACTCAGGAGAGATCTCTTCAGAAATTACACTTTTCCAATTCAACAAAAATAACCAACCAATCAACCAATGCTTTAACAAACCTCAGTAACGGTATACTATCATCCATTTTAAAAACTCACTGCACTTTGACAGCAAGCTTCTATAAAATTAAAAAAAATAAATTAGCTTGAGCTTTGATGCTGCAGAACATGCAGCAGAAGACACTCAGAAGGGAGCCTACAACAAAACAGTGCTCCTCTGTGCACAAGCAGTGTCTTGACACTTTCATGCATATGAATCTTCATTTCTTCTTTCTTCCCTATCAGGTTTTATTTTCTTTGAGACAAGTTGTTCTTTAATCTTTTTTAAGTTTTTATCTCCAAGAACCAGCTTTCTTTCACCTCTGCAAAGTGTCTCCTCTTTAATGATTCCACTTTCTTCCTTACCATTCTTTTTGTCTCTCCTTTTTGAAAGTTTGCATGCAAGTTTAACCTTATTCTAGTTAATACTTACATTTGTTTCAATGGAAATAACCATTAAAATTAAATTAAAGCACATGCCTAAGTGCTCACAGGCA